GAGTCGAGTGAAAGAGCTTCAGGCGAAGCTGGAGCCGGAGATCAATGATCTGAAGAGGAGAGACGCTGAGCTGGAGCAGCTGTCACTCACAGAGGATCACAACCAGTTCCTGCACAGCTACTCTTCACTGCCAGCCCTCAGTGTAACCAATCACTCACCCAGCAGCAACACCCGTCCTCTCAGATACTTTGAGGATGTGACAGAGGATTTATCAGGGGTCAGAGACAAACTACAGAAGGTCCTGAGGGTCAAGTGGACCAACATCTCGCTAACTGAAGTCAGAGTGTTACGGCCACAACCAGAGCCCGACACCAGAGCTGGATTCTTAAAATATGCAAGAGAAATCACTCTGGATCCAAACACAGCATACAAACAGCTGCATTTATCTAAGGAAGACAGAGCAGCAGCATTCAAGAGTTATTCACACTATGATAATAGTCACTCAGACAGATTCACTGAGACTAGGCAGGTCCTGAGCAGAGAGAGTCTGACTGGACGTTGTTACTGGGAGGTGGAGTGGATAGGAGAAGGATGCAGTGTAGCTGTCGCATACAAGAGCATCAGCAGAGCTGGGTGGTCAGGTAGATTTGGAGAAAACGACCAATCTTGGAAATTAGATTGTTTCTACAACGAATATAAATTTGTGTACAATAGTGTCATCACTCCAATCTCAGGTCCTTGGTCCTCCAGAATGGGAGTGTACCTGGATCACACTGCAGGTATTCTGTGCTACTACAGCATCATCGATGAAACCATGACCCTCCTTCACAGAGTCCAGACCGTGTTCACTCAGCCGCTGTATGCTGGAATTGGGTTCAATGAGGGTTGGAGAAACATTGCTGAGGTATGCAAACTCAAATAGACAGAAGTGAAAAAGTGGTTGCCGAAATGTTTCCTTACCGGAGCCTTTTTCTTTCATGGAGAAGTCATAAGTGACATATTTGATGTATTTTTACGATAATAACGATCAATGCATAACACTAACAGTGAAACTGTTCAACTTAAACAAATAGTGACTGCTATATAACTGCAGGAGGTTTGTGTAAAACGAGCAATTTAAATACATTTGAATCAGATAACCGTCTGTAAGTATTGAATCAGATGAGTTTTTCCTCTCATTATTCTTCCTCCCAGCCTCCTTACAGTGCAGACGCGTTTCTGCTTGCTCTTGCCTCTGCTTACTTTTTTATGCTGATTTTCCTATTTTTCTTTTCTGAAAACTTTGAGCAGCGGCTCCTGGACATTAACTTATCACTGGGACAGTTATTCTTCGTAAATAGACGGAGGGTTTCAGCCATATTTCAATATTTTTACGACGACCTCAGTCTTACTGTAGCGTGGCCTAGCAACAGCTAAAGCCTGGTAGGCTACTGCATGCTATTTAGCTTAAGCTAGTTGGCAGCAAAATGCCTCCGTTCTCTACAGATGACTTCCACAAACTTCTAGATGGCCGTGTTGGAAATGAAAATGCAACGGTTGGAAGTTAACGTGGAAGTGAATGGACTATGTGGGAATGACACCACTTTACCAGTGCAAAAGAATGGAAAAGGGCATGCTAACTTAGAGCTAGCTAGCAGCTACAAGGATTCCAAGGAACAGGAGGGCTGTGTACCGGGTAATAAATCTACAAATGGTAGTCCTCCCTCAAACTCTCTGGGTGCATGGCCTAAGAGTAAATCATTTCCATGGGATTTGGGAGGACGAATAACAGGCAGAGCCCAGCGCTCTGAAATCTGTGATGCGACTGGCTGGCCTGCATTGTTATCACCCAGGAAGAGCGCCTCTTCAACCCCTGTTCATACTAGGAAACAGCCGTGGACAGCTGCTAAAGGGAGAACTAAAAACAATTCTCCTAAACCACAGAGTGTTCCAATCCGGAACAAATAGGCTCCACTGACACAGAACCGGAGATCTCTTTCTGATGACCTGGATAATCTGTCCTCTTTACACAGCAGGGTAAGGACTAGGGGTGTCACGGTGTGAAATTTTCGGCTCACGGTTATTGTGACCAAAATTACCACGGTTTACGATATTATCTCGGTAATTTTTTTTTTTTTTAGTGTTAACATTAAGGTGAACATTAAGGTAAGTTTAGGTTATTAGGCAAGAAGCCAGTACTGTATGAGAACTAAGCTGTTTAGCGCCTTACAATGGCGTTTAGTAGTGCACTAGCTACCAACGAATAGAGCATGGCACCGCAGTAGGATGTATTTTAAAATGCTAGCAGTGGGCGTGCTTACACTGACATTTAATATCAAGGTTTAACATTTTAGACAATCGGGTATATCGTTGCATTATCCCTTGACCCAAAGTCAGAAGTAACTTAATCATTAATGTGTTTCACTGCACTATTTTCACTGTCTCATGGCATATCAAAGTTTAGCTATTCAACTTAGCTTAGAAT